GCAGAGGCCAGGAGAGGGCACTGGAGCCCCAGGAGCTTGAACCACCACGTGCATTCTGAGAATGGGACCCAGGTCCCCTTCAGTGCTCTTAACTGCTGAGCCATCTCTCTAGAACCCAGTCCAGTGTGCATCTTTTTGTTGTTGTATTTTCAAGACAAAGTTTCTCCGTGTAGCTTTGGAGCCTGTCCTGGAACTTGCTCTGTAGACCAGGCTGGCCTCGAACTCACAGAGATCAGCCTGCCTCTGCCTCCTGAGTGCTGGGATTAAAGGCGTGTGCCACCACACCTGGCCAGTATGTATTTTAAAAGTAGGCATGGTGCTAGGAACAGGATGGGTTATTAGAAAGGTCTTGCCAAGAGGAACACAGACAAGGGTTACTCTGTCCATCTGCATTAAACTCAGTAACATGAAATGGGAGGAGGCGGCTAACAATTACTTAAACAGGATAAAAAATTGTTCTCTCGATGGCCCTGGTGGTGAGGACAGGGGAGAACTGGCAGGCTGACCAACCCCGCAGCTGCCCAGGCCCAGAACCCGAGTTGTGACTTGGCCAGTCCCAACATCCCCCCATCTATGATCGGCTGGAGCACGTGAAGGGACCAGTCCTGTAGACCCAAAGCTGCAGGATCTCCATGACACAGGGCAACAACAGGATTTCCAAGAAGAGTCCCAGTGAGGGCCCAGCATGAACAGTGTAGTAGAAACCAGAGGCCTCGAACCAGACCAATGACTCTCTGCAATGAACACTTACAGGTACAGATATATGGACAACGGGGTTTACCGTGTGACTCACTGTGTCACACTGCAGCTTCCAAGACAAGATTTTTTTTTTCAAATAACATTTTTTTTCATTTATTTTACATACTGACAAAAGTTTCCCCTCCCTACTCTCCTCCCAGTCATTTCCCGCCCTTCCCATCTACCCCCTCCCCATCCACTCCTCCTCTGTCTCCATTCAGAAAGGGGCAGTGCTCCCGTGGGCCTGAGCAAAGCATGGCACATCAAACTGAGGCAGGACCCAGCTCCTCCCCCTGCATCAAGGTTGGACAAGGTAATCCAGCATGGGGAACAGGTTCCCGAAAGCCAGCTAAGCAGCAGGGACAGGTCCTGATCTCACTGCTAGGAGCCTTACCAAGAGACCAAGCTATATAACTGTCACACATGCAGAGGACCTAGTTCAGTCCCATGGAGGCTCCCTAACTGTTGGTTCAGAGACCATGAGCTCCCACAAGCTCAGGTCAGTTGTCTCTGTGGGTCATGATGAGATTGTTTAATTTCTCCCTTTTTTTCCTCTTAAATTTTGTTTTATTTGGGGTAGGGGGCTGCAGAGGCAGAGGGCAGAAGTGAAGGGACAGGGAATGAATGAGATCAAGAAGCACAATGTGAAAGACACAGAATAAATAAAAAGAAAGTTTAAAAAAAAAAATTGCTCTCTCTGTCAGGTCTGACACGTTTGTTCCACATCATTAGGGACCTGGCTCCTTCTGTCTCTGGGAGCATCTCTTGGTGTTCCGAATAGCTGCTGGACAGCCAGGCACTGAGTCAGCAGCAAGGGTGATTGGAAAGGGGAGATCAGAGTTGTGTACTGCCTCTCTCAGATGTCCTAGAAGTCCTCCTAAGGCTCACCTTTTGTTAGCCAAAACTTAACTGCATAGCAGTACCTATCTAGAAGACAGGCCGGGAGATGTGGTTTTCCAGTAAGTACACAGACATTTCAGTAAAACTGGGTTTCTGTTTCTAAGAGAGGTAAGAAAGTGGGCAATTAACAGCCTTTGGGAAAGGTACCAAAAGAAACAGCCACAGTGAGGTTTAACCCAGGACAAAGAGTCTGACATATCCTAGGACGCTTGTCTTTTGCTTCAGACCCTTCCTTTCTTCCTTCATCCCAAAGTCTCTTTCTGAGGAGAGCCACTGGACTTTGGTATCAGAGTCCCCTTCCCTATATTATACATACTACAGGACCTCACACCCTAGCAAAACCAACTCCTGCATCATCTGCTACTACGGCTCCACCCTCTCCCCCATCAGACACACCTCCAAAATCAAGGATTTTCTCTTTTATAACTGGGTTTAGATTCAAAGAAATGAGTTCTCTTCATGCTAGGCTCTACATACCATGGCTTCTTCCATACATCCTGGGCAGGAAAAAAAAATTGCACAAGGGGTATCTGGGTCCATTTATGGTGGCCACATATTTTTAAAATCAATAAAACTTTGAACATCCTATCATCAGTAATTAATGTCTCTGGGATTCACCATACCCATTTCATTCAAGACGGAATGTTGGAGAAAAAAAAAATCTAAAACCCAGTATGACTACTTAGAGCTGAGTTAAAGTAAATCTAATTCTGATTAACCCCTGAAATTTGTTTTCGTGTTCCATTAAATAACACCACTTTCCCTGGAAATCCAGAAATACATTTTAGTTGGGGAAAAGTAAGCCCTCGGTCTATTCTATCCAAGTTAAAAAGAAGAATGAGCCTGTGTAGCTGTGCACGCCTTGACGCTAGCACTCAGGAGGTAGAGGCTGGGTGCCCGCACATTCCTGGCCAGGGCATAGAGAATTCCAAGCCTGCCTGATCCACACCTGTGTTTCACTGAACTGGTTTATCCGTTCACTTTTTCCTTCTTCCCCCCACAATGGTCCTCTGAGCTAAGAAAAACAATGGATAAGTGAACTGGAACAAAGACGGGCAATTGGGTCCTAGCGAGAGACATGAGATGAGGCAAATGTGGAAGAAAACAGCTCAGTACTTTGTTCTAAGAGTCGAGATTCTATGTATCTTCAAGGCAAAACACGAAATTTGGGTAGGGCAGCTATGGGAGGAGGGGAGCAGAGACCGTCTATGTGTATATACATCAAAATCATAGAAGATGATCCCCAAGAGTGAGCACCAACTGACTCAAAGCCTGTAGGAAAGGAAGGCACCAGGTTTATACCCTGCTGCCCAGGATCAAGGTACTACAGCACAGAGGCCACCTGTGGTTTTAGGATCCAAGAATTTAGGCTTTAAAGGCTTTAAAAAAAAAAATTGGGTTTTTTTTTTAACCTGATAATAATGACACTTCCTTAGAAATAACTAAAACTGTGTTCTGTTATGTGGTGGAAAAGGGTCATAATAAAGAAACTGAGTAATGAAAACTAGATTTTCCCCTTGTACACCTGAGTTCATAGCTGACACCCAAGTGAGAGGTAGTATCATCTCTTGCATGTATATATTAGTGCTCTGAGCAAGGGCTGAGGGGAAGCAAAGGCATCACTAGACTCTAGAATCTCTGAAAACTAGAACCTCTACATTTTTAATTGTGTGTGTGTGTGTGTGTGTGTGTGTGTGTGTGTGTGTGTGTGTGTGCATATATACATGCATGCATGCCATGGCATGCATGTGAAGTCAGAGGACAACTTTTGGGAGTTGGGTTCTCATCTCCCACCTGTTGAGACAGGGTTTCTCTGGTTTCTATCATGTAACATACTCCAGGTTAACTGGCCCAGAAACTTCCAGCCAATCCTTCTACGTCTGCCTGTCACCTAACCATAGGAGTGCTGGGATTGCAGATGTGTGCTGCTCTATCCAGCTGTTTTCTTTCTCGGATCCCAGGGATCAAACTCCAGTCATCAGGCTTGCATGGCAACTGTTTTTGCCCACCAGTCCATTTCCATGGGCCTCTAAGTTTTTATTTAGACTATTAATCATTTTTTCCTGGGCACAGCTGTCACCAAGAAAAACACTATTTGAAAAACAGATGGCAAGATTTTGAAAATGAGAAAACAGTTCCCTGGGTGAATGAGACAGATGAGGCATGAAGGAGTGATGGACCCAACTGAGATGCAAGAAACAAAGATGTGAAGCCAGGAGCTTAAGAAGAGATGACATTAATGCAGTCATAGGCCCCAAAGAGCAGTAATCATGGATCTGGTAGAGTATCCTATCCCCTCTGGGGTGAGTTTCCCTCTCCATAAAATGCTTGTCAGTCACTCTCCTAAAAGAGCATTGTGGTGGCTCCGGATGTTCATTTATGAAGTATGGAAACTCCTTCTATTCTCTCTCTCTCTCTCTCTCTCTCTCTCTCTCTCTCTCTCTCTCTCTCTCTCATCCATCTGGCAAACATTACTATCAAGTACCTTGAAAATGTATCACACAACCCTTTTTCCTTCTTCAACTGTAAACACTTCCAAGTTGTCCACCACTGTCATTGCTAATGACTCACAGGAATCTTGAGTCTTCCTTGTGGGACAAAAACCCATTACTGTTCCCTCTGAGTTTTCACTTGCTACAGTCCAATGTAAGTCAGTTATTTTCCCTCTGAGTTACCTTCCTTGCGACAGTCCAGTATATTTCCTGTGAATAATGGAACAGACACCTTCTAATTTTCCTTTGAAATACTCTTTGAAACCATCACAGTCTAGAAAATTATTTTCGTGGGTTTTTTTTCTGCCTTTTACATAAGATTCTATATGAGAATCATCTGCAGATGACCCAGTGGATGTTCCTGAAGAGAAACATCATTCTCAAGGACATATTTTCAGTGTGTGATGCTCAGACTGAGTTTATAGTTCTTACCAAACAAAGATGTTTGTCAAGGTAGAACAGCAAAGCGAAGTTGAGAGCTGGGACAGACCATGAAGGTCGCTTTCCTGCAGCCCCTTCATCTCCAGAGGCAGAGATGAGGGTTCAAAGAGACGAGGCCTTCCCATGGGACATGATTCACATGATTTTGAACTATGTTTCAAAGCTTTGGTGGCTCAGAGCCCTGTTGATTATTCTTTGATGCCGAGTTACTTTTAATCTTTTTGACTTGCCTAGTGTGGGAATTATTTGTGATGTTCACTAACATGCCCTCTGGAGAACAAAGGAAGTTAGGTACAGCCATGTAATTTGTTTGGACCAATGAAATGTGAGCAGAAGTCAAGTGTTTCACTTCCTCTTTATGAACCAGTATGTACTTCATCAGGTTCCCTGTCTGCTGCCATGGCAACAGACTAGATAAGAGAGGTTCCACTAGCTGAGGATGATAAGGAGCTGAGTACGGGCAATGTAGGGCAGAGCTCCAGAGAGTTCACAAAGGACGGGTAGCCTGAGTGAAAAGTAATCCTTCGGATTTAAGCCGCTGGGATTTGGGGGTTGTTAGTGTGAAATGACCCAACCTAGCCCTACCAGGTAGGACTGAGCAATGTCATCATTCCCATGATGCATCTCTGTGCAGGAAGATGTAAGAGGGTCTAGAATGCAGAAAATCAGAATGCAACTCCACCAAACATTCCAAACACCACGCATCACAACCATTCTTTCTTCTTGGCTTATATTAGGGATGGGGGATGTAGCTTATCACAAAGAATGAGTATTTGGTGGCTTCTCATTCTTGGAACCATTCTGCAGGTAAGTGACTTGGTGGAAATTCCCTCTAGCCCTATGGTTAAGAACATAATGACTTAGATTATTTTAGTAAGTTCAGTGCATTATGACCTCAAATGCATCATCCTATAGTTACATGCTGTTACCTGTACAGCCATCTTCAGTTTCATTGGAAGTTTTTTAATCTAGATAATTCTCAGCACTTTATAAGATTTCTAACTTTATAATCCCCACTATGGCAAGTTAATGCTTTAAAAAAAAATCGCATCATGGGACATTTCAAATTCATAGTGATAAAATGAGTGGGTGAGCTTCCTCTAGTAAGAGAGTTTGTGCGACCTTGTAAGCCACTTAACCTCTCTGTGCCTCAGTTTCCTCCTCTATGTGATGGGGATAGTGGTAGTTCTTGACCCCCAGAGTTATTATGGAAATAGGTCACATACAACCTGTCTGCTTCATAAAAAAGGCTAAGTCTTAACTATATCTGACCCACAGAATACTTAGAAGTCTAGAAAGAACACTCAACTCAGACCTTTTTTCTTCCCTAGAAGAGTGAATTCAGAAACTTTTGAGTCCACCACATAGTGGTTTTCTGGTTAAGATGTAAAACTTTGGTCCCTCCTCCCTCACAGAGGTTTTAACGCCTGTGAAAACACAAACAGATGGGTAGGAAAGTTGGTATTGTTAACAGTTTAGGAGATTTTTCCAACTCCCTTGCTGAGGGCATAGATCCAGCTGGGGAAATCTTTAAAGGGCTGGACTCGTTTCTATTTTTTCCATCTAAAACACTTGGACTTTTTCAGGTTTATAACAAAGCTCACAAAAATGCTAAAGCTTAAAGGAGAATTGCGATCAGCCAAGGGACTGAAAGATGAGGTAAGCCTCCCAACTGCCTACATATGTGAAGGTGAACCTTTGTTGGGAGGGATTTCTTTCAAACTCCATGCCTCCAAATTCCAGGTATACCCATCATAAAATACCATGGACAGAGCAAGCCACAGAACAAAGATTTAAGGGCCCAGATTTAAGCCTTAGCAATTCTGAGTTCACATCTAACAGCCAAGTGGCCTGGACCATGCTGTCCACTTTCTCTGAGCCTCCTTTGCCTGGCCTCAGGAGTATACATGATGAGTACCTATTTCAAATGCTTGCTAGGTAGATTTCCAGGCACTGTGTGTAAAAAGCACCTAATAGACATTTTCTATGGTTGCCAACATTTCATTTTATCTAGTAGAATATGGAAATGGCGTTTTCTGCTTTGTACAATAGTTGGCCAAATTCTATGCATGTATTCCTTCATTGTTCCATAAAAGACGGAAAAGGTCTGTTGGGATAAGTATAGAGATGTCTCACGTTGACATGTGCTTCTGCCAAGAAGTAAGCTGCTTCTAAAACAAACACCTCTGCTGCTTTCCTGCTGGGTTACTACCGCCATATGGGACTTGCTGCTAGTTCTACTGGGAAGAAGTGTCTGGTATGAATTTTCTAGGCTATTATTTTCAATTAACATATGTCTTCGGAACACCTTCAATGTGCCAGGCATTGTTTTAGGAGTTTGAGGTTCAAAAAGCAAATGAAACAGAGATCCCTGTTCTCCTGGAGCCTGCCCTCTAGTAGAACAGCCCCTTAGGACATAACGGCCTCAAATATGAAGGAACTACTGAGGTGCCAGCCAAAGGTGGCTCATATTTCACGGGTACCCAACCTCTGCTATATACCACGTGCGTCCTAAAGTACCTGCTTGCAAGTGTGCTGGTGTCACCAGATTTAGAACAGTAACATGTCCATATTATTTGCTATGTGAGCAGAGCTGTTTCTAAAATTTGTGCTCACAAGGCAAAACCTTGAATGACTTTCCATTAATTCCCATCAAAAGTAATGCAAAAACTGCAGTGTTTCTCTAAAAGGAAGCTTGGGACCAAAGTCAGCAATGTCAGTACTAGTGTCTGGAATTACTGTTGATAAGTGCAAACTCAATTATCACAAGTCAAATGTAAAAACTCCTGAAGTAATATTAGTTTTTAAGGCTTTCAGATTTTGTAAAATCATATTACATTTATCTATTTATAGGGGCAAGGTGGAGGTCAGAAAACAGCTTCCACCCTGTGGGTCCCCGATCTCAAACTCAGTTCATGAGGTTTGGTGGCCAGCATCATAATCTGCTGAGACATCTTACCAGCCCCAGCTTTCTGCTTCCTAAAGCATAACTCTCACCATAAATTGTTATCTGTCCAGTGGTTGTAGTATTGGTGATAGTTAAAAGTGGTTTTCCATTATTTGTTGAAGATTTATCTTCATCCTTGGACAAATCATTTCCCATAGATGATTACCTGAGTCACCATTTCACTCCAAAGTTACCCTAGAAACTACAACTCCAATTTTTCAAAGCCTTTTTGTTCCAGTCCCCAAACCCCAAGAATGCCACCATTTTGATCTTAGATGTTCTTATCTCTCCAAGCACTGCTGAGTGGAAAGCTTAAACTTGACACAACTCTTACCTGAGAGTAAACATGCAACTATTTGTCGGGCCTTTAAAACTCAGAGCAAAATGTAGTCCCCTCTTGAAATACGTGTTTGAGGAGGCAAGCTAATTGACAAAAGGCTCGTTTAATCAACACAGAATTCACTCTCATTAAATAGCTTATTTTCTGTGATCATGGAAGCAGCTGCAGTGTTAACACTGTTTTGCCTGTGAGTTGGTAGCTCGGCCAATGGCATGTGCTTCTGGGCAGAGTAGCCGGCTTGGAATCGTATGTAGTAGAACTGGGTATCTGAGTCCACAGCTTCTGGAAATGAAACCTCATCTAACAGCAGAGATTTGCTTTTTCAGCCGTCACCTACAACTTCAGATCCAGAATGGCGTCAGACAGCACCCAAAGATCAACAGTACAACTGTTGGTCCCTCTCCTGCCCCTAATACTGCTTACAGAGCTGTGGTTGATGAAATGTCAGATTAAATCTATGCCTAATGCATATTGACACTCTAAAGGCATCTGCCTGGAATTCATTCTCCATAAAGTACATAGGATTATAAGTAGTTCACAGCTAATGTCTTGTACAAGGTATTAGGAAAAAATGAGATCTACTAGGACCCCAGAAAAACTCACCTTTCTTGAGTTTCTGAGCACAGCCTCTTCTCACAACTAACTGTATTAAAAATGGATGGTGGGGGGGCATCTCATTGCTCTTCATGTGCGTTCATTCCTGCTCTGATACCTCAAGAGCTCAATGACTTGCTGTTTGGGAATGAACAGTTACATTTTTTATTTTAGAAGCAAATTTCATCTGACATCTAGCAAAACATATTTGTTATTCAACTGGTCTAGGGAAACTTCAGAGGAAGATGATTTATCCTAAACCTCTTGTTTTATGAATGAAGACATTTCCTCAGAGACTCCAAGTTAACCCTAAATATCCAAATTAGATGATGTTGAAGGCCTAGCTCTGAAGTCCTGGTGGTAGAGAAGAAAGGGGTAACTTTAGGCTTTCTACTCAGAGGGTAGTCCAACTGGAGAGAGCGGCTGTTTTCACTAGCTTGAGAGAGTGCATGAAATGGTTAGCTTGAGGAAGCCCAAGTTGTGTCTTATTGGCTTTGCAGTAATGAGTCCTCAGTGGATGGGGCGCCATCCCCAGAAACCCTAGATCATGGTCCTCACCTTAAGACGAAATCGGCATCACGGTGAGGGTGCAGAGCATTCTCAGACTCTCCCGTAGGGCAAGCATGGCATTGTCACCCAATTCACAGATGACATAAATGCTCTTGTAGCCAGAGAGGAGGGGACCCTGTGTGTCCAACTCCCCCGTGAGCTTCCACGCCACCCCTTGTGCCGCAGCCGTGAGAAAAAGGCATCTAAGATGCCGGGGTGAAGCAGCTGCTCCCTTTCGGGACCACGGATTTTGTTTTCAAGTTAGAAAACAGTGTCTGCATGCCAATTTTTTAAAACCACTCTCCACACATTCTCCTAAGAGAGTCCCTGGTAATTGTCTTAATGGTAATTACATGCTTGGGGCAGTTGACATCCACTGTTATTTTTCTTAAAGTGAGGAGTGAGGGACAGGAGCTAGAAAGGAGGAGGGAGAGGTTTGAGATAATGAAATCCTTTTAATGACAGAGCCATGCCGTTAACCTAATTAAACTGTAAAGTGGGGGGGAACCTGCAGGTACTAAATGGAAATGAAGACGTGAATCAGCTGAGACAGCAGTACTTCTGGGAACCATCTGGATTCCGGGTACTCTGACATTGTGGTTCCGGGTCCCACGCTGTCCTCTGGCCCACCTTGGCCTTGTTCAAGGGTCTCCTAAACGGACTTGTCCACTAATGCCTGATTTACTAGGTCCATCTGAGGTCTCTAGTTCCCATGGGAGTGTGTTCTGTGTAGCTCATGAATTTCAGAAGCCACGTCAGTGTGACAGGGTGGCGGAACCCTGGTTCCATGGGTGATGCCCTGGGCCTCCTCCTAACCAGATGTGCGGCTTTGGAGCAGCAGCTCAGATCCCTGCCCCATCACTGTGTGTCCTTCCCTGAGTTCCTCTTCAAACAGCTGCTTTAAGACCACTGAGGTCACCTCACCAGAGGGCTGGAAGTGCTTGGGAGCTCCCATCCCACGGTGCAGCCTTTGGCCACTACATCACTGGAGTAGACTTTGACGGCTCAGCTCTCATTCCCACTAATCAAGATCGACTCTGAGATGTAATTATACTCTGCAGTCTCCTGTAGGATCAGGCAAACGTCACCCAGAGGCCCTTTGTGTAACTGGACCCCTTACGGAGTCTCTGCCCCTTCTCTCTTTGGCTTCCCAGCCCCACCTTCCTGACCTGTTGGCTGGTGTCTTGAGAGTCTCTTTCTTCCTTCCCTCATGAACATGATGGAGAGCAGTACAGTGATAGAATGAAGCCTGCAGAGGTTCAGAGTGCTCCTGCTGAGTTCTTCTCCCACTACCGCCACCACCCACCCTGGAAAGTGGCATCAGGAGCTGATAGACAGCCCACCCCCCTGCCACTGCTCTGTACCCAGCCCCCTCCCCACCCAGCTTGCTACTCTCCACACACTTGGTTTTGATCTCAGTCACTACTCTCCACCCTGACCTACCAACAATTAGCTAACCCCTCTAACTCCTAATCAAAGACAGGGGATCTTACTGATCAGGCCAGGCCTTTCTCTTGTTCTCCCAATGGTGAAGCCTTGTAAAGAAAAGCACTAAGTTAATAGGCAGGGGGAGGGGGACGGTTAATGGATAAAGAGAAAGTTAAGAGACTTCAGAATCCCTCATCAACTCTATCACTGATTCGCTGTCGCCTTGACAAGTTCATCTGACATCTCGATATGTTTATTTCATCAGTGGCAGAACCATTAATATTTATAGACAGTTCTCTGGGTGCCTGGAATCATTCTAGGCACTGACTTCCTCTCGAAAACCAGGGGAATTGTCTGATGCACCCACAGCAGCGTGGCGAAGATTAATTAATATAAATAAGTAATTGTCTGAATAACGTGGGGCACTCAGACACCTCACAAATGGATCCTGTGTAAATGTTGCCCGGGATGAGTAATAACAGTGGAGGTGTGATGAACGAATTTCCAGCAAATTCAGCTCCCTGTCAACCTGTTAAGTGAAGGAAAGCAAGTGTTTTCTCGGTCGTTCATAATGGATGCCTTTGTTTGTCTGGCTGCCTAGGCCGGGGAGAGAGACAGAGAGGTGAACAACCTGAACAGCAAGCTCTTGAGCCTGCAGCTCGACATCAAGAATCTCCATGACGTCTGCAAGAGGCAGGGGAAGACCTTGCAAGAGAACCAGCTGTGTGTGGAGGAAGCCATGATGAATAACAGTCACGTAAGGCACCGGGCAGCTGCCACCTGCCTCAGTCCCCTTGACTGCTCTAGCTTATTTTCATGGGAACAAAAGAAAGTTCTCCTGTGGGTCACTCAGAGTGCTAGCTGAGCAAGCAGTGAGAGAACTAAATGTACCACACACACCCTGACACAGAAGAGATTATTCCTGTCTTTGGGATTTTCCGATCTAGCTGTTTCCAGCACTATCGAAATACTGAATATTATCTTTTTCCCTCTCTGGATTTAGCGCATCCTGAAAACACTAGATCACGGTGATATAAGGATGGGTCTTGGGCAAACTGCCCAGTGAGCCATGGCAATGAGAGCCACTGCAGCTAGTCTGAGGTGTCTCTCTGCATCAGTTGACAGGTGTTCTTAATGCCACAATGATGCCTCACTGCCCGGGAGCTGTTCTTCCAAAGGCTAGAATCCAGTCCTTCAATAGCCAAGTGCCAGGGAGTCCTCAACCAGTAACAAATGGGGAAAAGATTGATCAAAAACTACATCCCTTTCCCCTTAGTCCACGTTAACTCAAGGCTGGCTCTTTGCTCTCTCCCAGAGTTCCTCAGTGGGACTGAGCCCAGTGGACCAGTCATAACAAGCTTAACTTGTTCTCTCCCTTCCTGAGTTTTCTATAACCACCTCCCACATAAACTGCTTGACACTCAGTGCCTTGTTACAGGGCCTGACTTCACAGCCCAAGCAAGTCACTTGGTAACCCATACCCTATTTGAGTGTGAAAAGGCAGACCTCACAGCGTGCCGGTCTTTCTCAAGACTGACTTTGAACTAACACTAACCTATAGGTCTAGAGAGTTCACCAACTGAGCAATTTCACTTCAACCTGAGGTTCTCTTTCTCTTAGGAAACCCTAAACCTGAAATGTTTAAGCCAGTCTCTAAATTTATTGACATAAATTTGGGGACCAGATGGAATGATTTCTGAGAATTCTTTACTGTGGCCACTTTTCCTTTTTATAAACCGAGTTCCATGCAAACATAAAGCAGTTACTGGTTGCGCGGGCCCTTGCCGAATCCCTGGGTTAGACCCTCAGCTCCTGTGTAGGTAGCCGCCACACGTTCCTGGTGCTCAAGGACCTGGTCTCTCCTCACTCTATCTGTTAGCATACTCCCAGGATGCACCACTTCACAATATAAACCACACATTGTTCTCTGAAGCTGCCTGAATATGCTACCAGCAATGCAATTCCACCTCATCTTACTGACCTTGCCACCCTTCCTCAGGAAGTCACAGAAAGAGGAAACAATCCACTAGGTTTCCTAAATCAATCTCAGGAAGAAGATCATCATTTATTTCTTTCTAAATATTAACATTTTAGGATATTTCCACTACTGCTATCATGAGTTTACTTACCACCCCAGTCAGAGAAAGCCACTCGGTTTATAAATGTATCTGGCAACTTAGAGGGAGAAAGGCATTAAATTGCATTTTATTATTCTAATTGCCCAGAAGAAGGTCTAACAGCTTGAGACAAGCTTTAAAACAAGCTCTTTTTTTTCCCCTAGCACTTAGTGCAAAATTTAAATTGCAGACTACGCATACAAATACACAATTACATGGAGCCCTACACTCATCTCCTCAAAACCCCTTTAAAACCTGCCGTCCATGGAGAATGTACTGTGTTGACAAAGGAGAAACACCAGGCTTTCTGGGATTTTGAGTAATACTGATGAGGAGCTGGGGAAATAGGCAGGAGGTCATAATTCAGAACCATATTGAGGGGAGAAAAGTAAAATATTATATCAGATGTTATGTGTAACAAAAGAAATAGAAGGAGAGAGAGAGAGCAGATGGAAGAGAAAGTGTGTGACCCTGTAAATCAAAGAATACAGACTCAAAACCCAGGAGCAGAGCAGAGGTTGTGGCAAGAGAATGAGGTTCTTGGGCTCGAGAGATGACTCAGCCATTAAGAGCATACTGCTCTTTCAGAAGACTGAGCTGATTCCCAGTGCAGGGCAGCTCACAGGCTCTTGTAACTCCAGCTCCAGGGTGCCTGACGTCCTCTTCTCACCTCCATGTGTACTGCAGTCATCTTCACAAACTCACACTCAGAAACATATAACCATAATTACAATTTAAAAGAGAATCTTTGGGCGGAGGGGTGGAGGGTAGGGGGGGGGGTAAGACAGTGTTTCTCTGTATAACAGTCCTAACTGTCCTGGAATTCTTTGTAGACCAGGTTGGCCTCGAACTCACAGAGATCCTCCTGACTCTGCCTCCTGAGTGCTGGGATTAAAGGTGTGTGCCACCATGCCTGGCATAATTTTTTTAAGATAGGGAATTATTTTAAAGTAGGGTACCCAGGGTGCAGAACTTATGGGCACTTCACCCTTTGGGTACCAACCTGCACTTGCCTGACCCTGAGATTGAATAACTCCTTCAATTTATACCTTATCCCCCTCACTCTAGTCAAAGAGTGACTCCAGGTAAAAGAAGAAAAAGAACAACAAAGATATTAAAATAACATTATGATCAAAGGCTGGGTGCTGTGGCACACACCTGAAATCCCAGAGCTCGGAAGCTGGAGGCAGGGGGATTACCAGCCTAAGACCATCCTGGCCTATGTAGCAAAATCTAGACTAGCCTGAGTTATACAGTAAGACACGTCTCTGAAACAAGTCAAAAGCTGGAGAGACAGCTCCGTAGGTGAAGTGCCTGGTGCGCAAGCATGGGGACCTGGGTTTGAATCCTCAGAACTCGTAGAAAAAGACTCATATGAAAGGATGTGGCAGTGCACGTCGACAATCTCAGCACTGGGGGGGGACGGGGGGGAGGCAAAACAAGCCCTGGGCCTTGCTAGCCAGCCAGTCAAGTTGAATAGGAAAGCACACGTTGGTGAAAGACTGTTTCTCCAAAAACAAGCTGCGCAGAAACCGAGGAAGATGTCTGACATCAACTTCTAGCCTCCACACAAATGCACACAGACGTGCATATTCAGAAACACACACACACACACACACACACACACACACACACACACACACACACACACACAAAGCTGAAACCAAATAACTAACATTAAATCAGAAAAGGGAGAGCCTTTGTAACAATTTACCCAGCTTTTATTCACTGGTGGAGGCATGGGGACTATACCTATGGAATGGAACTCTTATTGTTGAACTAATCTTGGAGATGGATGGAGGGCACCATTTTTAGTATAAAAATATATAAAGCAAATGTTATTCTTTCAAGTAAAGGTAATTAGTTGAATATCTAAAGATTGGTAGAAGCCTGGTGAGCATTATCACACAATATCATTTTGAACCATTGGTAATGAGAGCAATTTTAATGAATTTGCTAAATGCAATGTGTGGCCCTGAATTGGATCATGGAGCAGAAAATAAAAATTAATGGAAAAATATGCAACATTCGAAAGCTGTATCTAGTTTCATTCCTAATAATCTACCAGCGTTAATTTCTTAGTGTGGCTGCATAAGAAGGCAGCTTTGGGACAATGTAAAGGAGGAGCTGTGAGAAATTTGTCCTACTTTTGGCATTTGTCTGGGAATAGAAAATCATTCCAAAATAGCTTTCAAAAAATGGATCCCATGTAAGCAGGGGTCTGGTGAGAAAAATGTCTAAACCACAAACACTCATTTTAATAAAATGCCTGCCACTGAATACAACAAGAAAGGTGCACGTAGCTCATAGGTAACATAGGAAGTAACGGACAAGCCTCTCTAGTGATAAAGAAGGTTAACATGGAGCTCCAAGGATATATCTCACTCAACACCTCAAAGACAGGAAAAGAAGTTCATGGCAACGACTGGGGGAAAGACAGCGAAATTCTAAGTTCTTAAATGAATAAAGAAAACCATCAGGGACACAGTTATCAGAACAATGCCAACCTGTGACAGCAGAGCATGCAAGCCTGAAGAGGGAATAAATGGTTAAAAGGTATTTTGAAAAGCCGGCTTTAGGCAAATCAGCAGGACCTGATGACATTCTTCTAAGAGTGCTTAAGGACTTGGCAGCTGTTATTACATGGCTGCGAGTGATTATTTTTGAGAACTCAAGAGGATAAAGAAAGTCCCTGTAGACTGAAAAAGGGTAAATGAAGTGCTCATCTTTTTAAAAAGGGAGAAAGGACAATCCTGGTAATTATAGACCCGTCAGCCTCCCTTCAGTATCAGGGAAAATATAGAACTTAACATCAATCAATTAGCATCAACTTCAAAAGCACAAAGTATTGGGTGGAAACCAATGTGACTTTTCAAAAAACGAATCATGCCAGGCCAATTAATTTCCTCTGTGATCAAGTGGCCTCGTAGGCAAGGAAGGAGAACTAGTTATAATCTCTTTGACCACAGTGGGGCTGTAGGGTTGACGAAATATGGAAACAGGTTCCTATGGGCAACCAAAGATCTCCAGCTTTTCATGTGGCTGAAAACAGGACAGAAATCTGGCTGAGAAATCTGGTTGACCAGATGGCCTCCAGAGTCACCTCCAACCCTGGACAGTCACCTAAAGAGCTAGTATTACTTCCTTAAAGACACTTACAACTTGCTTAGTTTTTTTTTTTTTTCTTTCCAGATTCCAAACTAAAAGTCAAGGAAGAATATAAAATCTATATCTTCACTAAAAAAAAGAACTTTTAAGAAAAGAAGACGGGGACTAGGGAGGTGGCTCTGTGGGTGAAAGACTTGCAGTGTCTGTATGGAGATCCCAGCACCCCTGTTAAAGCTGGATGGGGTGGCACACATCTGTAAGCCTAGGACTGGGGAGGGGGAGAAAATGGCAAATTCCTGCAGCTCAGAGCTGGCTTAGTCGAAATGGTGAGCTCCAGACTCAGTAAGAGACCCTGGTTCAAAATATTAAGATGAGAAGTAATTGAGGAAGACACCTGACATCAACCTCTGGCCTCATATGTATTCATAACTATATGCACACACACACACACACACACACACACACACACACACACACACAAAGTGTAGTGATGACTTTCTGAATCTGCCCTTTGTCAAACATATAAGTAAACTATGTATTTCTTATTTATCAAGAGTTAAGAAAATAAGCTTTTAAACATGTAAGGACAAATAAGCAGGAATTTAGCAGTTCTGAACTAATTTTAGGCATTTCTCCTCATCTTTAAAATTTGGTTTCTCCAAACCCATAGGCATCTATAATATGCAAATTTCTAAAATTCCTATCCCATAAAGTTCCAGTTGCTCTGTGGATTTAAGCAGCTCTTGGGTCTTCCTAATCAGTGGCATTAGTCCAGGTGTTACATTTGTTATGTAGGACAAGAGTTCCAAACACTCCCATTATCTGACTGTCCTATCATGCTACCTCCAACTAAAGTGAAATCCAGAAATACTCCACATGACCTGTGAGGAAGAGAAACGACTCACAGTTCATTAGTATTGCAGCCAGGATGTAGAGCTTCATATGCAGCACTCAGGAAAAGACATTTTATACCCACAGGAAGCTTCAAAACCAATGAGCAATTCTGAACTCTCCTGGATCCCCAGGTGCAGGGAGGAAAAGCCTAAAGACAATTTTGCTCCTTTCAAACAAAGAATGCTTTTCTCATTCTTTCGGGCGGTGGAGAGAAAAGTGGAGACATCAGAAAAGCAAGATGAACGAAGAAATAAACACAAGGAGACGGCAGCTAGTCTTTAGCTGGGGCCTGTGTCCAGCGGCAGAGAGGCTGATCCAAACCCTGTTACACACTAGATCTGTGGTCTTCACCATCAGCAATAGGCTCACCTTCAAAAAAGCCAAGAGAAAAAATGATTTGAGCCATAGGAGACTTGGGGGTATTTTCTTCACTGAAGCGAGTCCCTCAAAAGCAACTCTAACCCAAAATGTTCACACCCCATTTTAGCTCAGTCCACATTAAGTAGCTGCAATAACTTTTTTTCTATATAGCTCCCAATAGCCCCCCATCTGTATAGACAAGAGGATCTAGGTTCCTAGAGACTTCCCTGTACAGACATTTGTGTGCCTGTGTGTAGTATATACAGAGAGAAAGACAGAGACAGAGAGAGACAGAGAGACAGACAGAGAGGGGAGAGGAGACAGAGAGAGGAGACAGAGATGGAAAGGGAGACAGAGACAAACAGAGAGCAACAGAGTCACACCCACCCACGTGCATGCCCAACTCCCTCGTCTCCAAACTTCATTTACAATTGAGTTGTGAGAACAGCAACACTCTTAGCTTGGGAAGACTGAGAGCCCCTAACAGTATTCTATCTAGACATAGCAACTGCAGCTAGGTGCTGCAGATTTCATCTTTGTTTGAGAAGTCTCATCCCCTTCCTTGCAGCTGCATTCATGAGTTACTTGGGCCAAACATTTACCCTGTCGTTGCTGAATGTTTCTTTTGCCTGGTGACAATAGTGGTCCATTTCTTGTCCATCTTCTTAATTCTGAGGCATGTGGGTGAAGTAAATTTCAAAGGGGGCTGGGAAAGAGTAACTCTGACTGGGCGGACACAGTCAGCGTTTGTCTTGGTGGTTCTGAGCTGCGCTGTCTTTACCTCATCCCGCCACCACCACCCTTCTCACTTGAAATTTCTCTCCTTAGGATCTCAGCTAAATTTCATTAAAACACCATCACTCCAGTGACTCAGGCTGACCTGCTAAAGTCACTCTGTCTGGACAACCATGATTCCCCCCGCCCAGTCTAACATCTAAATCAGCAGTGAATTCTGAAGGCTCCATTTTCAAAACGTATCTAGAATCTGTTTCTCCTAACCTCCACTGCTACAGCATTGTTCCACGCCACTCTCTCCTTGCCTGGATTCTTCCAACAGCCACTTTCTGTGGGCTTTCTCTGCTCCTGTTTTGCTTTCTTACAGGTGACCTTCAGTAGAACACGCCATGTGTCCTCTGTAAACACTATGAAAGATCATGGAACTCCCTTCACAATATTTTACATGGGGCTGTCATCTCTTGCAGGAAGCTAAGGACTTCACCATGGCCTACCTACCTACAGGACCTGGTGTCTTTTTCTCACCTCCTCTGGCACCATTTCTCTGCTTCAGCAGAGCACAGTGGCTGGAGCATCTCCAGGGATCCTCAAACACCACCAGACAGATGTGCACCTTCTTGTCTGTAACAGACTTGCTAATATCTTTCTCTGGAACATCCCTGCTACATGGCTCTAGCATTCTTCTTTTGCTTCCTTCCTATTTGGACTCAACTTGTCTATGAACTTTTCCATCAAAACTTTTATTATGCAATGATGAACTACTCCACCCTGCCTGTCTCTTCTTCCTGTCTGCTTTGCAGTACTTTTTGCCCACAATTAACTTTACCATTCTCCTCTCTCTCTCTCTCTCTCTCTCTCTCTCTCTCTCTCTCGGAGGTATGCATGTGTGTGTAGAATGCACATGTGCAGATATTTATACTGTAGAGGCCACATGAGATGTCTTCCACTATCCCTCTCTACTTTATCTCTTGAGATGGGTCTCTCACTGAATCTAAGGATCACTGATTGGCTAGACTGGCTGGCTAACAACACTGAATCTAAGGATCACTGATTGGCTAGACTGGCTGGCTAACAACACTGAATCTAAGGATCACTGATTGGCTAGACTGTCTGGCTAACAAGTCTGGGCAGTCTGTCTATCCACCTGTCTCTACTCTCTCCCCACATAACCAGTGCTATGCTACAGATTCTGATGACAATGCTTGGCTTTCATGGCTTCTGGGGATCTGACCTCAGGCCTTTATGCTCAGACAGCAGACTCTTCACTCACTGAGCCGTCTCCACAGCCCACTCTCATAATTCTACACATATAGTACAATTATCAAGTTGCATACTTGTCAATGGCAAGATTTTATCATTTACAAATTATTAAACTTCATTGAAACTGTAGAAACATTATTTTTAATGCCTTGAGTCCCCGAGACTGAAAACAATGTAGCTATTGTTGTGCCTGTTGGTAGTCTCCCAGAACCTAAAGGTAAAACCCTCTTGCTGGACACACCACAGCGGTGCATAGGGGAAGTTAGTGGGGGGCTGTTACCCCTTTTCCATCCTCCAAGTCAGTCTTCCTCCCTACAAAGTCCCAGACAGGCCTGGAAACCATAATGGAGAGCAGGCCAAGCTGTAATGACACCATGGAAATGCAGTCTCCCAGTGTCCGGTGGCCCTAGACATGGACCAGGACAGAATTTGGATCGGCCAAGGCTGCCCGATGTGCATGACAGATGCATGACTGGAAACTCGCGCACAGTGGTTCATGTTAAGGTCCCATATACCAACTCATCTGACTGCCCTCCTTCGCATGGCACAAGTTGCACATAAAGAAACGTGTCTGAGCATAGAAAGACAGCCCACCATTGAGCTAGGCTAGGCTGCAGGTAATACTCTACTTACTGCCTTGCCCATCAGCTTTCATCCAGTGAACTTAATAAACAAAAAAACATTTTTTTAAGATCCTAGTGCTGGACATACCACGTCCTTTGACACAGGACTTGGAGGAATTGAGCTAGCACTGACATGGAAGGTGCCATGTGAAGCGCCAAGGGAAAAAGGCAGCCAATGGTCCTACAGAGCTGGAAAACCTACCAACTGCGGCGATCACCAGCCCAACAAGACGTCTTCAACGGAGCAATGGTGGCACTTCTATCTTGTGGGTAACCAAGAGCTAACTGAACCGAAGGCTCACCCGATGGGAAGGAATTTGATGTCTGCTACCGCAAACCTAGCCAACTACCTTTGGTTAGACATCAAAGACCCTAGAGAAAACCCTACTGCCATCTTCCTAAACCAATATCACTTCTAACTGTATTCTAAAGTGCAGCTCTCATCCCTCATCAGAGAAACTTCTTTTTGCAGCAGATAGTAACTATTACAGAGATCCACATCTTGGCAAAACGTGGAGAACAAGTGACCCTAGTCTTGGACCAGGACTGAATTTGACTCAAACAGGACTACCCTAATTTGCATGACAGAGACTGTGGGGTGCCAAGCGATAGATACCTACAATGCACCCCTACACCTAAGGCTTGGGATGAATCATCAAAGAGAAGGTGGGAAGATTATAAGAGGCAGGGGCCCAGGACAGCTGTTATGAGATCCTGTCTTCTAGATAAGACCAGCAAGTTGCACTTAGGAGACGTCAACAGTATGGCTGCTTCAGTAAGACCTGACAATGGCAACACCAGTTTATATGCAACATGGATGAGAGAAATTTTACAAGACCCTCCCCTAGCTGAAGAGCTACAGCCTATCAAGGGCTGCTGAGAAGAAGAACCAGTTATCTCCATGGACAAGACCCCTGATAGGCTTTCCTATCCCAAGTACATGGCCTAAACACATACAAATACAAGCAACACTAAATGGACTCAGTAGGTCAGATGGATGGATAGATAAGTAGATAGTAGATAGGTAGATAGATAGATAGATAGATAGATAGATAGATAGATAGATAGATAGATAGATGACAGATAGAATAATAATAATTAAAGAATAAGAGATCATAAATTTGAGAGGGAGTAGAGACACATGGGAGGGAATGGAGGGGAAGACAGAGGGGTGAAAATGATGTAAATACAGTACTCATATATGGAAAAAGTAAAATATATATATATAAGTTTAAAAAAGAGAATATTCCAACCAGGCAGTGGTGGCACACGCCTTTAGTCCCAGCACTCAGGAGGCAGAGCCAGGCAGATCTCTGTGAGTTCAAGGCCAGTCTGGTCTACAGAGCGAGATCCAGGACAGGCACCAAAACTACATGGAGAAATCTTGCCTCAGAAGAAAGAAAGAAAGAAAGAAAGAAAGAAAGAAAGAAAGAAAGAAAGAAAGAAAGAAAGAAAGAAAGAAAGAAAGAAAGAAGAAAGAAAGGGAAGGAAGGAAGAAAGAAAGAAAAAAAGGAAGGAAGGAAGGAAGGAAGGAAGGAAGGAAGGAAGGAAGGAAGGAAGGAAGGAAGGAAGGAAGGAAGGAAGGAAAAAAGAGGAAAATATTCCAAAACATGCTTAAATGCTGTTTTGTTAAATGTATTCTGTTAGTGAGACCAAGGCCATAGACTGAAGTTCTTGAGAACCAACAAAATTTCCCCGGCCAGGCTTACATTCCTTTCATCTAAATACAGAGCTATGCATGAATCTCTAATCTAAGCCCTGTAGGAACAGACATGGCCATTACTCTGTAGGTGTTTATAATGCAAGTAGAATGTAAGATACACAGAAAAATGCAAGCAAAGTAAGAAAGAGCACAAAAAGGATGTGCCAGGTAGGTCTACAACTCTAGAACAAAGGCAGCTTAACAAGCCCAACAAGGAGAGAGCCTGGAAGAATGAGCAGAAAGATGGATGCTAAGGACCACCACCAGGCTACCTCTTTATCTATGTCTCTTTGACATGCCATTGTCATAACAGGTGAGGATAAGAAAATATAGAAGCACCATTACAAAACTTCAGTTTTCCTGGAAAAATAACTCAGGGATGTGTCCTGTCAGCAGAGGGCCTGGGACAGAAGGGTGTTCAGTGGACACAGTGAATGATCCAGAAGCCATTCAAGAAGACTGTGGGTTAGCTGTGTACTGTCAGGGAAAGAGAGTGTGTGTACGCGCGCTCACACATACACACACACACACACACACACACACACACACACACACACACACATCAGGTGACAACCTTGTTAAAGAGAGATAGTAGGTGCCCAGAAGTGAGCACTGTCTCTGCTTTCCATACTGCAGCATCCCAGAAGTCCTAGAATCCAGCAAACTCAGTGCTCTGTTCACCCGGGAACTTTTAATACTAAATTCAGCTCAAGAACCATTAACCAAAAATGTGCTTCCTTCCAGGTCAAGCTTGTCATCCTTCTGTGTGTAGGTAACATATAAGCACAGCATTAACTATATCTCTCTAGATCCTTTACATGTATGATTTTTTTCTTCTGGCTCGGGGTGCAGGGCAGTGAGGTGACTCAATGGGTAAGGGGTCTTGCACCACTCTTGATGACCCGAGTTGGATTCCCAGGACCCCCATGGTGGAAGGAAAAACCAATTCCCCAAAATTGCCCTCTGACCTCCACATGCAGACCATGGTAGACACACATCCACCCACCCACCCACGCCCAACACACACATTAATAAATGTAATTTTGAAGTTTTTTTAAAGAATCATCTTTTCTTCTTTTGATTCCTCCTTGCAGAGCAGGAATATGAGGTGATTCCTCGAGGAATGTAGTGAAATGTTTAGAAATGTCTCTGTGGATGAAAACATCAAAGGGTGAAGAGCTGGGTGTAAATGGTTGAACACATGCAAAGAGGCCGAAGAGTGAGTGCACCCTCAGTGGCCCTCTAACCCTCTTCTCCACATCCTGTCTGTGCTACAGAACAAGAAGCAAGGCCAGGCGTTAGCCTACAAGGAGACCCAGATAGAGTTCAAGTCCAACAAGCAGTGTCATCTGAGGCAACTCCAGCAGCTGAAGAAGAAGCTCCTGGCGCTGCAGCAGGAGCTGGAGTACCGCACCCAGGAGCTGCAGAACTCCTACTGCTCTCTCCTGCAGTACCAGTCGATCCTGGAGAAGCAGACTTCCGACCTGGTTCTTCTTCACCATCACTGCAAACTCAAGGAAGACGAGGTATCTCGAGATTCACCTTGGGCATGTCCCAGGTGCCCTTGCACCCCCAGCACTCAGGCCCTGCCCACCAGTACGCAAGCATGCATTTCCAAGGGAGGGCTTTGCACCACCTTGAGCAGACTTAAGAGCCTTCCCTCTTTAGTTCATGACCCGTCCGAAGGTTAGCAAATGGAAACTAAATGGACCGGCACGACTAGGTTGAGAGAGCCGGTGTTAACGCGTGTGGAGCGTGGGGCTCCTGTGCACACATGTCTGGTGTATCTATGTGTGAGAGGCCATCTTCTCCATATTGTTATGGCTGTTGAAGTTCAAGAGACTCCAGATCTCTCAGGGTTTTTTTTTTTTTTTTAAACAGTAAAAGGTCCATTAAACCAAGTATTTTTAGGAAAGTTGGCTTTTGGTGCTGTATAAATCCCTGGCACCTGCACAAGTGGTAAGATGTGCAGCCTCTGGTTCTGAGTGCGTCACTAAGTGCCATATTGTTTCTTCAGGCTGGAGTTTTAGAGCCTACAGTTTAAGTGCATTCTGAACATTCATTTATATTGATGCTCCAGGCCTATATTTTTTTTAAAGCAAAGAATAGCATCCCTATGAAATTCCAATTAAATTCCAAAGACCCACAGGACTCGGCCCAGTTTGGCAGGAGGGACACAGATGTCTTAGTACTGTGTTCCTAAGTAATGGGGCAGACAGACCCATAGGCAGGCCTTCCCCTAATGGTTTCTTCTTTGAGACTTAACGAAAATTCCAAGGAGTATTTTAGACAGTGTTTTACTTAAAGACTAACTCCAGGGACTTTAAAGGGGGCCTTACAGAGAGCATAGAAAATTCTTTAAAGGGCATAGTGTGGCCTAGAAAGAGTTTTCAAAAATGATTGGGAGAGGAAGGAAGAAAGGTTACCCCACAAAATGTCATTTGGGGAAAGTCTGTGAGCTTCGACTGTGGGTTAATAAAGCCCTAAGTGTTCAAACTGCTGTTCACTGCACCCTAAACCAGAGCCCAGCCTGGATAAAGCACCCCCAAATTAGCTGGGATGCCTCTTAGGACTAAAAAGAGCTGTGAACAGCAGTCAGGTGGCCTGTTGCGTTATGACAAGTGCATGTATCATCGGGATCCCTAAGTCTGACTTTTAGCTTTATCTTCACATCCACTCATTCGTCCATTCTCTGGGTCACCTGAAGTGTCTGCCAGAACTCCAGCAATCACATCTTTATCCCAAATAACCCAAGTGAAAGGGAAGACAGGAAGAAAGTGCATGTTGTCCTTTTAAGGACAGTTACACACAGAAGTTACAGAGAAAGAGAGAGAGAGAGAGAGAGAGAGAGAGAGAGAGAGAGAGAGAGAGAGAGAGA